AGAGAGAGAGAGAGAGAGGGTAAATCGAGGGGAAGGGTTTAAATAAAGTATAAGGGATAATGGCATGCATAAATGTGAGACAGCGTAGTGGAATCAGGCTCTCATCAATTTTTGGGCATGTAGAGGTATTGATATCATCTTAAAGCTTGCTCACTTGTCTTTATTTGAATGGAAAAAAATATCCATTTATCTTGAATACAAGTCGAGATGTTTCTGAATGAAGGGGGTGGGGGTCACCTGTTTTCAGAGGTAAAATTAGTGAAAAATGGCCGGCAAAGATTAGTTATTTCCTTAGCTTTAGAGTCCGTGGTAACTGAAAATTTACATTTTTAGTACCTTTAATCGACGTTTTTCAGAAAAATCCACACAGAAATTAGTTCTTTAAAGGGCATGAAAGGTGTTGAGCCAAAAAAAAAAAATTAAAAAACCCCTCACAAACCTGCGGAAAAATGCAAGTTTCTTCACTTTGATTACTTTGACGAGAGCCTGATTCCACCACGCTGCCTCACAAATATGTGAAACCGACTTCCTTCAAATTCCCACTTGTAATTTCACGTGATTGGAGACCCTTCTTTTAAAAGAGCAAAGGTTATTATTATTACGGGTTTTCTCGCTCTGTCTCGATGAAAACTGGCGTCCGTAGTGTGACGGTTAGGCTCTAGCACTCGAAAGGTGTGAGTTCGAACCCTGAGTGGGGATGGTTATTTCAACGAATATGTACAATCTTCCTGGTGGAACGCTACGTGTCACTCTACCCAGGTTGGCCCTGACTGGCAGAGTACAATCAGTCCACCTCTTAAATGATCAACTTAACAATGCTATGACTTAAGAATTCAATAAGTATGCCGGTTTGTCCTCAAGTGAGCGTCTTTAGCGACGGAATAGTACTGGTGATTTAACCTCTTTGATAACGTACGGTACTTTTTCTAATGCACAAACGGAGGCAAACAATTAATATTCTAGCCTATCCCTTACTCGACTTCGCGTTGATCTATGAAACACAGGAACAAAGACACAGACAAAAGCGCACCCATTTCGGTTTAAAAAAACAACAAACTAACTAATTTACCATAAAAATGTTCTAAATTGGTATATTATAACGTGTCTGTACCACGTTCTACAACCCTTACAAAATCTCACAGAAAGCTTTATGAACGGTTTCTTCCTCACACTCAGAAAATGTTTCAATTCGGAAAAGATCAGTGAAATTTGATGGCTGTGGGGGGCTAGAAT